CTCAAAACAACCAACAAACAAAACAAAACAAAACAAAAAACCACACGAAGCAGAGCCTTCCTAAGATAAAGCACACAAACCAAGAGTCTGTTTAATAAAAATATTTAATGCTGCCAAAAAGTATAAAAATACAGTACGAATGGCAGTACAATACAAAGTAGTCTCTCCTCATTTATATCTTTTACATCTTTCTGTATGTCACATACGCATCAACAGCGCGTAACAATGCAGCAAAGCCGAGGTTCTCAAGTCTTCTGCTGGTGGACGCTCCTCGTCCGTGATGTGAAGTTTACGCTGTAAACAGACAACCGTGAGGCAAGCGAGCGCTAGTGAGCCTCACTTCAGCTCCAGAGTGGGCTTCGATCTTGCTCTGCACATCAACATTCAAAATTTATAGCTGCAGAATATTCGCAAGTCACGAATGTTTAGGTGTCTGTCAATCTTGGCCTAAAACATAAAATAAGAAGTCATGTATTCAATCTGCAATTACCAAACACAGACGACACAGATCAGACACAGCAGGACAAGAGCACTACACAGGCTGCCAGGAGCTGCTGCCTGACGCGGTGTCTGTGGCTGCTCTGGTCCTGGTCAGGTGCCCATGGGCCTGATTCGCAGTCCAATTTGCGGTGAGGACAGGTGGTCACTTGCTTCTCCAAGACCTGCTAACTGAACTGTTTAGGTCATCCTATTTGCCTCAAGAAATGACTTCATGTAAGATACCAACAGAGATGGGTTTAGAAACAATGTGGCCAAAAGAATTTAGGGTTGGACCGTGGATTTAGCTCAGTGGTTCCGCCGCCTGCCTTGAAAGCACAAGGTTCTGAGTTCGATCCCCGGTACAAAAAAAAAAAAAAAGAATTCAGGGAGACTGCACGGTGTGTGCCACTGGCCATGCCTGGGCCTCCCCTGTGTGGCACTGCTAAAAACAGTGCACGCTGGTGTCAGGACACCCAGGTGGCGTGGGGCTGCGATGGGCTGCTAGCAGCTGCGCTCTGTCCAGGAGGAGAGGACTACCCAGTACAACCACACAACTGAGGCCACTGGGAAGAAGACAGATGGACAGCAATGGACAGACTGTGCTTTAATGCCACAAAGTAAAAGCATGAGCGAAAACAAGCAACAGAGAGCGGGAATGACTACTGTAAGGGTAGGCAAAGTGTGTGATGTTATTTCACAATTATGTGGAAATGACTTTTGGGGAGGGCAATGGTAGTTCCACTCCTCTACACACACACACCCCCCAAATCTAAACACGTCAGTGCTGTATCTCCACATGCATAACTGGGAAATATAAACCAGAGCCACACAATTTAGCCAAAAAACCAGAAAGTCCTATCGCCAACAGCGCCTCACAGACAGTGGCTTCCTCCGTCCCAGCTCCCTCTGAGCCCTCTGTAGACCCGGATCTGCTCCCCCAGTGCTGGTGACAAATGCCTGGTCACCAGGAAAGTGCCTGGATGTGCAGTCCCTGAGCTGGTGTGGGGCTGTCACAGGGCCACAGAGCCCTGGCAGGAGCCACGCTCTTCAGTGGCTCCAATGCCACATGTGTGTGTGTGTCCCAGGCATCCAGAGCTGCTCTTTACAGCCAAGGAATGACAGCCTGGGTTTAGAATTTAGAAGGTAAGATACTGACGGTCTGAGACTTCTCTTTCTGTGGTAGTTCAAACTGTATTTCACAGTTTTGGGCTTTTTGTGGTTTGTTGTTTGTTCTAGGGAACACAGGTGGTCTATTTTTCTTCCACTTAAATATGTGGCTTCAGTATTCCAGAGTCTTGTAACAACAGAAAAGCAGGTGGCTTGGCGTCACTGTGGATCTGCAGCTTGGGGTTTGCATCTCAGCTGTCACACTTTCTCTGTGCCACCCTGGCTGTTTTCTCATCTGAAGACAGGGACGATGTGGGCCCCCAGGAGAGGTGTCCTGCACACCACTTTAGGGCCTGCACCTGGACTGGCCACAGGGCTGAGGTGTCCAGCACACTCCACTGTCCTTCCCGGTTGGTTGGTAAAGAGATGCTTGCTGAGAACCAGTTACTTTTTTTTTTTGGTACCGGGGACCGAACTCAGGTCCTTGAGCTTGCGCAGCAGGCAGCGAAAACTGCAAGTTACTTAATTTAACAACTCAGAGTGATTTTTAAAAAAATTCCCTTGTTATTCTTTTGTAAATACTATTCTGGAGGGTAAAACAATAAGATGAAATCACGCAGGGTTGGCTGTTTCAGAAGACAACGTAGACTGAGAAGGCAAATGAGCTGTTTCAGAACATTCTGCTGTGTTCACTTACATCGACTGCTGCTATCTTACTTAAGGTAAAGTGGTCCAGGCAAACTGGATGCACGAGCAGCGTGGGGCTCTCGCTGGAGCAGGCAGCGCCCGGAGCTGTCCCCGCATGGGGGAAGCAGAGCGAGCGGAGTGCCCGACTTGTGCCACACGTGCCCGAGGCTCAGGAAGCCCTCTCCTGAATGAGGCTAACCACACTCACCCAGGGGACAAGCCCTACCTTAATAGCCACCTACTGTTGCCTCGCCTGGATTTATCAGACTCAAACTATTTGAGGTTTTCAAAATTAGTAATTTCAAGTATTATTAGCATTACATGCCTGAAAAATCGACAGCAAATCCGAGCAACAAAAAATGGTCTCCAAACAGACAAACAGTTCCCACACAGCCACTGCCTGCCCGTGCCAAACTCATGTCTGGCACAGAGTGGCAACGGGAGACGGTCCAGCACGTGGAGAGGCACTGCCTGCGGAGGACCACACACCCAGGCCTCTCCAATCTCCAGGGGAGGAAACAGCCACCAGGCCACAAGCGGCAGAGAGGCCAAGCTGGGGTGCTCTCTCTCCCCAAGGCGGGTGCCAGCCGCACCCCCAGGTATGAAGAAAGGCGATGAGACCCACCCAAACTGCACGGGCAATAATCACGGCCAGCTGATGTCCTGAGAAAAAACACTTGAGGAAAAATACTAATTTCTACTGTTCAGTTCTATTCATCAGATTCTATGCCCTTACCACCTAAAGTCAAAACCAAATAAACTCTGAAAAGTACAAGAGAATTCCCCAGCTGCTGTGTGAGAATGCAGAAGAGACCAGAGGCCTCTGCGGAGCTCTCAGCTCTGAGCTGAGGGGCACAAGGCTGCCAGACAAGGGCGGCCTGGGATGGCTGCATGCACCTCAGGCGGGTGGCGGACGTGACAGCATCGCTGAGGGAGGTCGTGCTTCACGATGGAACCGCACAGAGCACAGACGACATTCAAAAAACCCTCTTTAAGATTTGAATCTGAAGGGAAAAACCAAGGAGACTGGGTTGTTGCTGCATCTGAACAACAACCAGGCAGGCAAATTCAGAAATGCAGGCACAACAGTCAATACAAACATTCTCCAGACCATCAGCTTCCAGTCCCTAATTATACAGAAATGTAGTCAGGGAAGCTTTTCTAAGAGGGAAATGAGCTGCAACCTTTGAGAATTATTTAATTCTAGAATGCACCACACGCAGATTGTGCGATGATGGCACCAGAAAAGGAGCAGAAATGCCAGTTCTTGCTGCCCAGATGACACCCTCTGCAAGCGTGGGCACAGAGTGACGGTCACACACAGGGAACTCCGCTGTGTCTACAGCCAGCGCTGCCAGCAGGGGTGACCCCAAGCCACGCAGGACTCCAGACCCCACCCTCGTGCCCGGCGAAGACAAAGCGCAGTGCCCGGGAGGGAGCAGCAGCACCAGGCTCTCACCACTGCCCTACAGCCGGAGCGACTGGGATGGAGCCTGCCTGGCTTTGCTCTCTGCTCTGTGTTCATGCCTCGGCACAAACACTAACACACAGCTCTTTCTGCTGTTCGCAAGTTCTCTGTGCACTTTTATACGCTGCTTTTAAAAGATTCTTAAAGAATACAGAAAATGGGTATAATTTTCATTTTATATGTGGAGAACTTAAACATGGAGAATTTTGTTTTGATACTTTATTTATGTGGAAGCCCCAGGAGAAATCAGCAGCAGGCAAAGCCAAGACCGCACGCCGCTGCCCTAGATGGGGGCCCTGAGCAGCTGCAGCCCCACTCAATTGAGGGGACAGGTCAGAGACCCTCCTAGGACAAGAACCCCGCTGCTGCGTCCCTCGCTGGGACTCGCAGTGCTCACTGGACCCAGGGCCGGGATGACGGCAGTGGGCACTGCCACCTGCTGCCATGTGTTTTTCATAACTCACACCTGGTGCCCACAAAAAGACCCGCCAGCCAAACTGGACACACTGAAAGGCCCTCTAACAAGTCCTCCGGGGCAATGTCAGAGGTACGCGGCCACATGCACTGCCCTGAGAGGCAGAGCACAGCAGAAGGGCAGAACCCAGACACATGCGTCCACTCTCACGGGACCTGGGCATGCCTCACTGGCATCGGCTTCCTGTGAGAAGCCTTTACCTTTTTGCTCAAAACACGGCTCTTCAGTTGGGAATTAAGTAAGACCTGCCTGTCTGAGTTGCAGAGTAACACGCACAGGTAAACGGGAAAGCAGGGTCTCACCCCGGCAATGGCCTGCACACGGGCTCACACACACACAGGGCGCCCTGTCGCCCCCTTGCTGTGAGGCCTCGGGACACAGTGCCTGTGCCACCCTTCAGTGTGCACCGCCGTCTGCACCACGTTCACATGTCCAGCTCGGCCACTAACCTGAGCGCCTCACTTCAGGGTCTAAACCAATGGTTTCAAGCTGCTTCTAAATGGGAGCGGTCTCCTTTTCCATACTAAGCCTTAGCAGAGACGCCACGGTTAGATCAAGGCTGGCTGGGATCCTCCTGCTGCCCTCCTGTACATCCACTGCGCGGAGCCTGGAAAACGCTGAAATAACACATGCTATCGATGGCTCCCGGCAACTGTTCGTCAACTATGTAAGTAACACTGTAAGGAGTGCTGAAGTCTAAAGAAAGCAGCAGTCAAATGAGCAGTTATATTCATGAGACAATATGCTTCATAAAATACTCAGCAAGAAGTTAAAGGCACAATGTCAAGTTCGCACATCATCGTACTATTTATTGAAGTAGAAAGAACTTGAAATTTTTCACTTCAAAGCTTCAGTCTGGTGACCTGAAATCACAGATCATAAAATGCTGCTTTTTACTTCCTAAGTCATGATTTACCCCAGTTATAAATTAGGGTCATTACATTAAAACTCTCCAAAAGTGAACAGTATTAGTCGTGTGCTTTACAGAAACCAGCTTCTTTACAGTCTTCACAGACTGTGACCTGACTAGCCCAGCAAAGAGAATCTCCCTTCAAAGATACTTTCAGGAAAATTTTGTTTCGCTTTTAAAAATAGGGAAAACTGTAAAACGTACAGGAAACCCAAGTATGTAGTAGAAATTGCTTATTCAGAGGTATACCTGCTCATACCAAACTTTCCTAGGAAAAGGGAAAATGTATCCATTACAATTGAGTCAACATACAATTTATTTTCTTATGGTAACAGATTTTCAAATTGAGCTTTCAAAAAGTACATTTAACTACAAAAGTAAGATTAAATAAGTACTTATAAAATATATTTACCCTGAAATGGTTATGTATATAAAGTGTTGATGCCCATGTCAACAGTACATTATACATTACACACATTTAAAGGTCATTTTCTTTCCATTAATAACATAGATAAAACCACAATATTTATTGCTTATATCAAATGCAGGTTAAGATCCAGATAGCCTTCACAAACAAGCCCTTTTCGATAAAGGACTTTTCAGGTTGGTCAGGTGAAGTATCACGCTGGACATGTGTGAATACAGCTGCGAAGGGTACCAGTTTTAAGAAACACGAATGTCTTTGAGACAGCAATTTACAGTTTGGCTTTCGGAGGAACCTGCAGTGGTGAGTCCTGAGGTATCGGGCTGTCTGGTGAGGTCGCGTGGACCGCACCACTTGGGTTTGGGGGTCAGCGCCTGCTGCTAACAGAAGAGCCCCCGTGATCAGCGCAGTGGGGCTGGCTGCTAGTGCAGAAGCGTGTGGGCAGCATGGCTCATTTACAGGACATGTTGCTGAAAGAACAGTGTCCAGCTAACCAAAGCGCCAACCAAAACGACTGACAGAACCCCGATCTTAGTGAGAATAGGTTGCCAATATAACCACCTTTTTCTTTTTCGTTCAGTCTCATTTAGCCTCTGTTTCATCCGCTGCACCTTCTGAGCAGTGGCGGCCTTCCTGTCCTCTCGAATGCGTTTCCGTACAACACTGGGAAGAGAGAAAAGCGAATGAAAGGAAGTGTGCTGAGGGCAGGGCCTTGTGCCCTGGCCAGGCCAGGCCACGCTGCCCACGCGATTCCCATCCCCACCCTACGTGACAGTGTAGACTTCGGTGCCACCTTCAGTGTACATGCAGTGTGCAGAGCTTACGAGGAAATGCACACAAACCAAAGTCTGTTAGAATGCTCGTATCTACTACTTACACTAGGAGAGTTCCTAGTTCACTCTTTTTTTTGGTACCGGGGATCAAACTCGAGACCTTGCGCTTGTGAGGCAAGTGGTGAAACCACTGCGCTAAGTCCCCACCCCCCTATTTTCCTCTTTAAAAACTCTTTGATCACCTAATAAACAGATTATTGGGGTTGGAGTATAGGACTGGATCTTCAATTTGAGAAACTGCTTTGCAGAATATGTGACAGTGAAAATGCAGAGAAGAAAGCACCGTGCTCGATTTCTTTGAAAGCCGAGATTCAATGGATAAGACTTTTAGTTCATTAGAGTCTCTAATGGGACGCTGTCAGTATGAAAGCAAATGGGCTCTGAGCAGCGAGGCAGAGTACTGTCTACTTCCAGTTCTTGCTTCAGCTCCCTTCCGTGCCCATTCTGTTCCCCCCAGCCTGCTGTGCTGAGCCTCTTTCCTTGTCTGCTGGGTCCCTCTTCTGCTTGCAAACAGCACCAACCCTATCTGCTCAGAGGGAAGACAGACACGGGAAAGCGGCCTGCTGTGAGCAGGCGTGCATGGGCACGGACACCGTGGGAGGCTGCTGTGAGGGCCCGTGCTCCTGCAGCCTCACTAACCCTCAGCACCACACAGATCGGCAAACCTCCCGGGAGGGAGGGAGGGAGCGCTGGGTCCGCTCAAAGGCTGGTGGTGTCTATAAAACAAAAGCCCTGCCCTCAACACACCAAGGACCCCAAGTCAGCCATCAGCTTGTTCTCGGCTCTGCACCGGCCAAAAGGCATTTAAAAACCCAATAACACGAGGAATATGAACTTATTACTGAAAAAGGTAATTTAAAACACGGTTCCTTCCTTATTTAAAAGTATACTTAAGGTGAAAAAGGAAAAATAACCTAGCTTATGTTGCACTTGCAGCCTAAAACTACTAAAGCCACGAATAAGGAGTAACATTGCTTAGTCATATTGTTATTCAAATATAGAAAGACATGTGCCGCGTGCAGAGCTGCCAACTTGTACAAAAGGCCACCGCCCAGGCCCCACAGGACGCTAAGCACAGAGCCTGTGGACAGATCCTACACTAGGACAACACAGCAGCGGCAGCACTGTAATGTGAGGGAGACCTCAAATATCTGCATGGCACCCCCCTTCCCAAGATGCCATCTAACAAATGTGACTAATGTAAACTCACAGTAAAAAAGTGCATGTCCCAAAAAGAAAAGTTATTCAGGAACACAGAAAAGGACTCATTCACTTTGCTCAGGATCCGACTCCAGCTTCCAAATGTGTGTGGGAGATACTTAGAGCCCTGGACATGTATTTTTAACTTAAATATTTTAAATAGTTCATACATTCATTAAGAAATCAAAAATCAAGGGCCAGGGATTTAGGTCAGTGGTTCTGCCGCCTGCCTTGCAAGCACAAGGTCCCAAGTTAGATCCCTGGTACCAAAAAAAAAAAAAAAAAAAATCAAAAATCAAAAATCAAAAAGTAGGGCCAGGGATTTACCTCAGTGTTTCACCGCCTGCTGCGCAAGCACAAGGACCCGAGTTCAATCCCCGGTACCAAAAATAAGTTCCAAAATATCAGAAAGTATAATAGATTTTATGCAATTTTGGGGAAAAAGATTTTTTTCTTCCTTCAATAATGGAATTTTGTGTACTACTTTACAATTTCATTATTAACAGCATACTGTCAATTACAACCAGTACAAACAATATTTGTACAAATGACAGGTATTCACACCATTTGTTTTCTGTACCATACTGTTTAGTATTTTAACACCTCCTTATATTAACTTCTGCATTCAAGTAGTATTGTCTCCTCAACTGGCTTCTAAGTGCCCCCACCCCAGTACTGGGAACTGAACCCCAAGGCCTTTGCACTGAGCTATAACCCAGACTTATTTTGAGACAGGGTCTTACTAAGTAACCTAGGCTGGCCTTGAGTTTGTGATCATCCTGCCTCAGCCTCCCAAGTGGCTGGAATTGCAGGAGTGCACAACCATGCCCAGCAGCATTGACTTTTTAATGGGATCGAAAGCTTTCTGAGCAAACTATGTCATTATCTATGATGCAAAAACCCCGGGGTAATAAATGAAGGAGCAAAGGGCACATACTGTGCACACCCTCGACCCTCCTTAGCAGGTGACAGCCCGCCCTCTGTGCAGCTCACCTCTCTCTGCTCTCCTCCACAGAGTCCTGTATCTTGGAGGACAGCCCCGCACACCGCTCCCCCGGCAGCTTCTCTCCCTCAGGACAGATTCTGTTCCCATTGTACTTCTCAGTCACGCCTCTGGTCGGTGAATGATCCGAAGCAGGAGATAAGTCTTCCTCAGAAAGCTCTTTCCACCGTTTCTAGATAGGGAAGAGAAGCCAGAAACAAATCCATTTAGCAAGTAAAAAGGGTTTATGAATTGAAAGGATTCAAGTGACGAAAACCCTGTGACAGTAACAGATGAATGAAAGAAGGCATTTTACCATACCATAGCACTGTTAAGTATGGTTCTTAGGCTCAAGCTTTTAGAACAACAGCACTTAATCTTTATGCACATCAGTATGTAGCTGAGCTGAATACAACCATCTTAATGAAATCTAGTGGGTCTGCCTATTTGAGACAAAACTACACTGGGTCTGAGTCACAGTAAGAAGATTTCAGCCTAAGTCGCATCGCTCCGACTCTCCATACAGTCCCGACGCGCAGATGTGGGCTGGCACAGCGAGCAGGACAGCTCTCGCATGTGCTTTGGCACCGCGCTGCCTGGGTGCTCGGCACCATCCGGCCACAGCAAGAACCCGGCGATCTCCAAGCAGGTCTTCAGGGTGCACAAGAGCATCTCCCACCAACCAGCCCACCACTGGGCCAGAGACAGAACAGCAAAGGCTCGGCTCAGAGCAGAAGGAGGGGAGGTTTCCATTTCCTCCTCTCTGAGCGACTGCAGACTGCTGTGGGACCGCCGAGGCAGCCCGTGAAATGCCTGGTGTCAGTCAGGTCAGTGAGCGGTACGTGTCCCATGTCTTCACGCCGCCGTTCCTGGGCCACGGGGGGGGTGTGTGTGTGTGTGTGTGAGTGTGAGTGTGTGCCTGTGTGGGTTCCCCTGGGGCCTGGGAAGTGAGGACAGTGGCGTCTGTCCCAGCCTGGGCCACGGGCTCCCAGGGCACCAAGGGCGAGGAACACAGCCCCACCCATCCCCTGCAGCGGCAGCGAGGGCTGAGCTTGGTGCGGGAACAGTGGTGGGACAGGCTGCCCTGAGAGCCCTGCAGGGCCTAGGTGGGAAGCAGTGCTGCCTGCACTGGCCACACAGACAACCACAGCGCCTGCTTCTGGGAACTGGCGGGGCCCTCGTTCCCCGGAGTTACCTCTGTGCAAAAGGGAACCCTTGACCTTGTATATTTAGGGTTTCAAAAGACCCCGGAAAACCCACTCAGACCCTGGATAAACTTGTTTCTCACCAGTCTCATTATTACCATGCAACAGAGGGACTAACAGGAAAAGGCATTTTACCACCTCCACCGTTCCTGGCAACAGCGGCATAGTTCATGAGTCTCTTTTGCCCTACGACAGCTGACGTCCGGGAGACTCCAGATGTGACCCCCCCCAGTCTTGGGTGTGTGGAAGGCAGGGAGCCCCCCTGCTGGGGGGTCTGGCTGGGGATGAAGTCCGAGGGCTGGGGAGGGGCGAGCTCGGGCACAGGAGCTGGGAGGGGGAAGCGGAGGCGCCCCAGAGCCATCCAGGGCAGGCCTGGGCTCCACAGAGAACGGCTGCCAGCTGAGGCCAGACTGGATGGTGGCTTCTAAGCACAGGGCTCTCATTTTGGTGTCAGGGCCAGTTTCCCTTCCTCCCTCATTTGACATTTTTGCTACTTGCTCCGAGCAGCCTTGCGGCAGCCCACCCTAGGCCAGGACACTGGGCACCCTCCCAGCAGCACCGTCGAGGAGGCAGGCGGAGGCAGGCGTTGCCTTTACCTCTTCCTGCAGAGCAGGGGTGGGCGGAGCCCGGGTGGCCTGCTGGGCGGGGCGGCTGATCCCCAGCAGGCCAGAATTTTAACCGAAGCCCAGCCCGGGAGACCACCCTGTGGGCCTCACGACAACCTGTGACTCAGAGGTCCCCGGTCTGAGCCAGCAGACAGTACTGGTGTCACACTGTCTCCAGTCCTCACTGACAGCCACTCACAGCTGCGTGGCCTCCTCTTGCACAACACTCAACAGTGTCAGTAAATGAGGCGATGCCAGAGCCCACGTCCTACTGGGCCATTTCCAGAATACAATGCACATTCAGGATCTGTCAGCAAGAAGAGCGCTAGGCAAAGGAGCGGGACAGACAAAGCTAGTGAACTAAAACACAACACCAGCAGTGTCAACTTGCCCGTCTGTGCAGCAAGCCTGTTCAGGGCCCTCGCTGAGGAGGCCTGAGATAGCAGGTGTGCCCAGGTCGCATGCCCCACCCATCCCTGCAGGCAGCAGAGCCAAGCAGCAGAACCACACTCACTGCGACTCGCAGGGCACCACGGGACCCGCATCAGCCACATCCACACACGGCACGCCTCTGCCTCTCAGCCCCACTGCTAGGAGTGTCACCCCACCCCAGCCTGGAGCCCACGCCCAGAAGAGCAGCTCCAGGGTAGTGTGAAGCAGTTAAGCCGGAATGTAAAAGCAGTGTACAGCACTTACACGTGGGCACACCTAACTGCCAGGCAGCGAGCTCACCACACCAGTTCTGAACTCCCGAACCAGACGACTGCTCTGGAGGCTCAAAAGCATGGCAACGCCAGCAACTTCTGTCTGTACCTATGCCGACCTTGTGCCCAAAGGCAACTAGGAACTATCTACATTTACCTAGGCAGCTCAGGGCCACCAGAGTTTTCAGTTTTCTGTAACCGAGTATGTGCTATCTGGTCACACATGTATATTTACTGATTTAGATATGATCATTTTAGACATGCACTAACAGCTCTCCTTCGTCTCTAAGGTCCCCAAATCACTCTATACCTACATATGCAGGTGTCTTCACTGAGAAACCAACAACACTGCCCACTAACTCACACATACACATGCAAGCAAGACAGGCTGTATTGATTTCAGACAGAGCAGACTTCACAGCAAGGAAAGTTACCCAGACAAGGAGAAAGGTGTCAGTCCTATGAAACACACGGACATCCTCACTGTGTATGCACTCCACAGCAGAGCATCAACTATGCGATGCAAAAAAACTTCCAGAACTGTGAGGAGAGACAGACACGTGTGTGTAAGCTGGAGGCTTGGCTCGGCTCTCCTCCCCCAGAACCGGACAGACCCAGCAGGACAGTGGTCAGGAAGGATAGAGGAGCCAACGTAATCACTGTGTACGTGACACCTCCAGAGCACTTCTGTCTCCAGCTTACATGAAACATCCAGCACAAGAGACCACATCCTGGCCGTAAGCACCTCAACACATTCAAAAGCACAGAAATAATATGACAACTCTCTCAGGCCACGGTGGAACTAAACCAGAAAAACAAAAGATAAATCCCCAAGCAAACAAATTAAAACAACGTGCTTCGTAATGCAGGGACCACAGAACAAAACTCAAGAAAAACTAAGAGAGTTTGAACTGAGGCAGGAGGATCACAAATTCAAGGCCAGCCTGGACTACTGAATGAGACCTTGCCTCAAAGCAAAGAAAAAGAAAAAAAATTGAACTAAATTAAAACAGAAACATGTCAAAGCTGGGATGCAGCAAAAAGCAGGGCTTAGTGGAAAGTTTACAGAAAAGAAGACCCAAAATCAATATCCTCAATGTTCACTTTAGGAAAACTAGGAAAAAACAAAATCCAGACTAAAGTAGAAGGGAAAAAAATAGAATTAGCCCAGAAATCAATGAAATGGAAAACAGGCCACTGATAGAAAAATCAGGAAAATCAAGAGCTACTTCTTTGAAAAACATTAATAAAACCAATGTGCCGCTACCCAGGCTAAGGAGGAGAGGACACAAATGACCAAAGTGAAGGAGAGGTGGAGAGGACATCACCATGGTCCCAAGGGCACTGAACAGACAAATAGAAATGCTGAACAACTCTAAGCTCACAGTTCGGTAAGAGATGAAATGCATCAATTTTTTGAAAGACATAATTTGCTAAAACTATTTTTAGTTTTGCTAAAACTAATTTGCCTGTATTTAGAAAAACTGCATCAATAATTAATAACACTCCTAACTAGAAAGCACCAGGCCAACGTCAGTCACTGGTGAATTCTGCCCAACATGTAAGAAAGAACAGAGTGGCGATTCTCCACCACCTCCTTCAGAGAACGGAGATAAAGGGAACGCGTCCCAGGTCACAACACAGCCAGCGTCACCCTCTCCCCAAACCCGAGCCATCAGCAGAAGCAGCAACCTAGATTTGCACGAGACAAGAAGCCCCTCCACAGGCTGCCTGGGGCCCACCGTAAAGAAACCCCCTTCTCCTACAGTTCTTACTTCCTCCGAGACAGGCAGAGACACAGGCCAGGAGGTGGGTGTGGAGGGAAGCAGCCTCTCAGACTCCACACACTTGTGTCGGGGAAGGCAGCACCGTGGCTGTGACCGCATTCACGATGTCTCTGGATTTTCACATTAGCTAAGGAACTTTAAATCTTCAGAATACATATCAAACTTTTACGACTTAGGATTTTAAAGAACTTATACTTTGTTCTTCTATGTAAAGGCTCAACCATAGTACTATCCAATGAGATAAAACATGAGCCACGTTCTCTAACAGCCACATTAAAAGATGATTTTAATAATGTTTTACTTAACTCAAAGTATTAAAAACATTACCACTTGGACATACAATCACTGAGATACTTTACACTTTCCCTCTGTATTAAGTGTTTCAAACCTAAGCACATGTTAAGTCAGACTAGCCAGCTCCCAGAGCTCAGTCCAAAAGCACAGCACAGCACAGCACTAGGAGAAAGCAGAGGCTCGTCTTCATGGCAAGTGCACCACGGCACGTGTGTACTATTTGGAGAAAAAAGCCCATTTATGAAAATAAACAGAGCCACATACATGGACACAAATTCCGGAGAACATACACCACGGCCGAATGCAGTGGTGTAAGAGGTGGGGCTGTGGGGGTCAGAGAGCACAGGTCATCTCCCTCATAAACGCCAGCAGTGCCCCAAAATGGGCCTGAGGGAGCCCCAAGGACCACTAGAATGGCTCCCGGGAGGAACAAGCCCTCCGGCACCAAATCTCCACCACCAAGATCTTGTCCCTAAATCAGAGAACTCAGTTGAAGAGTTTTTTTATTTTTTGATACTGGGGATCAAACTCAGGACCTTGTGCTTGCAAGACAGGAGGAAGTGCCACTGAGCTAAATCCCTGGCCTGTTTTGTTTTTCTGAGACAGGGTCTCGCTATGCAGTTCAGGCTGGCCTTGAACTCATGGTCATCTTTCTGCCTCAGCCTCCTGAGTGCTTGGATTATGGCTGTCTATCAACACTCAGCAGCTGAAGATATTTTTGTCAGACCAGCCAGAAACGTGCTGCTCAAATAGTGCGCAGGGGAGCTAAGAGGACTTCCACCTTATACATGATACACTTCCAAAACTCTGAATTTTCTCATGGTACCTGATCATTTTTCTCACAACAGAAACAATTCCACAGCTCCACATATATCACTGTAGTCTTGCTAAGACCACTTCTGTAAAAATCAATGCCTTGGGACACTCACTCACAAGCTTGTCTGACCCTGAGTAACAGAAATATGGAGCCACTTCTGACATCTTATCTGGAACCAGCACAGAGAATGCCTTAAATTCAGTCTGAGGACTACACATCAGATAAACTCACAGAAAAGGTCATCCTGGCTACAAACTGCACGATGATCCATGCAGGCAATACAGGACAGCAGGTCCACACCTCACCTCCGCTGTGACAGAGACCCTGATAACGCACAGGCACACACTCTAAACGACAGAAACACAAACGCACACAAGCCCAACAGTGGAAGGAAGGGCTGTGCGGTTACAGTGCGCTCTCCCTAGACTCACTCCTCACTCACTGCAGCAGGGAAGCAGCAACAGGCAGGCGGCAGCCTGCCCCAAGGGTGTGGGAAAAGCCTGATTTAATGATTCCACTCCCTTTAAATTCCAGATTTAACTTGGTCAAAGCTTTCAAAGGTAAGGGAGAGAAACTTTCCTAACCAAACATTGAGATGGCTCACTTCACCTAAATCACTGCTCACTGTGAGAGCATTCCCAGCCTGGCTCTGACACAGGACTGTTTTGGGGTTTCGATTTCTGCACTGAGAAACTAACATTTCTCCATTACAAATTTTCTTCAGATATTGGGAAATGGGAAGAAAATGTTCAAATGGGAAGGGGAACAAGGGAGGAGAAAGGAAGGAAGGAAGGGACAAGGAAAGGGTGAAAATAGAAGGAAAAAAATGGAAACAAAGATTCTGTACATAAGGAGGGGAGGAGGAAAATGGGATAAAATTACATCAAATTTGGCTGGGGATTTAGCTCAGGGACACTCGCCTGCCTCACAAGCACAAGGTCCTGAGTTCTATCTCTGGTACCAAAAAAATTGATTAAATTAAAAAAAATTTTGAATGTTGTTTAAAAACCAGGAGAAAATCCTTTAAATAAAACTTTAAAAAACCACTAATATAATAAAGTTTGACTGAACTGTTAAAATAACACTAATCACAAAAAAGTTAGCTACTAATACATGTATCCCTTAAGAGTATTTTTAATATGTCTTTGAAATCTACACAGCACTCACTTATCCAACCCTGATGGTCTACGTTATAAAGAGACTATTCAGATTAGTTCTGTACTGGCTAGTAATCACAGAAATTAAAGAACAAGCATATTCACAAATGAGAAGCACAATGGAGAGAGTCTACTACTGCCTTACAGAACAAGCTGAGTATCCCTTACCCAAAACGCACAGGACCAGAAGTCATTCTGATCCTAGGTAACTGCATAGACTTTATTAGTTGAGTATCCCTAATCCAAAATTCATGAATCTGAAATGCTCTAAAATCCAAAACTTTTGAGGATCTTGTAGGTGCTCAAAAATCTCTGGATTTTAGATTTTCAGATTCCGGGTGCCCAACCTGCATCTACTTATGTCCAATATTATACAATTAGACCAGACAGAAAATGGGGTCTGTTGTAAGTTCTGTTTCTATTGATATTTTGCCTTAGTTAATTAATAACACAAGTTTTTGATAGTCTGTGAACTTACCTTTTGTAAATGTACAATAAAAATATCTTCATGAAAATAAAGCCACCAATCAGAAAAACACAATTTCACTAGTACTGTATTCATTATGTTTGTCCTAAGTACTGCAGCTATTCATTAACAGTTAAATATTACATAAACCAAGCAAGTTTTTAATGGGGCAAAAAGTACTTATGCTTTCTGATTTTACTAAGCGCTCAAAACCCCCTTAGTGAAAATTTCTTTTAGTGAAATCAGGTCCCACGAGGCAGGCCTTCCCGGGGTGCAAGCCAGGGCCTTGCTTGAGCTGGGCAAGCACTGTCCCTTTGAAACACAGCCCAGCCCTGCAAGTAGGGCTTAAGCAACACATGAGATGTAACATGAGGCTGAGCATACACGAGGAAGCAGACAGCTGGGTTTACACACAAAGTCAAGCACACTGCTTGGAAGGCACAAGATAAGGGACTGGGGGGGCACAGCTATGTGATGCTAGCTGTATTTAACCAGCATTATTTTTTTTCCCCAAGAAGAGTTTACCTGTATATTTGAATCTCCCTTTATACATTTTGCTCCTTCTATTATGGCCATGTAAGAGAATCTGAGTTGATCTGGAGTCTGAATAAGTCCCATTCGATATTTTCGCATATTTAGTAATACTTGTTTAATGTTAATATCATCTCCTTTTTCCATCTGAAAGAAAGGTAAAGAGAAGCCAAGCCTTTCATTGTTAGAGTCCAGGAAACAAGCAACACAAGGTCAGTGCTCGGGCTTTTGCTGCATGTGCGCTTCTCTGTAAGAACAAGGGCGATTCAGCACACGTCCCAGCCCACCATCCTTCACATCTCGACTGTCCCAACACACATGGGGTGACTCTTGATTATCCACCTGATGCATACTTGATCCACACCAGCTGTAGTTATCTCGTTCGTGTTGGTCAATAACTGGACAAAGGAAGTATTTGTGGCCAATTTCATACAGCGTAAGGGTGAATCCACAGTGATTGGTTTCTTAAAAGGTCCTGGCAGAAGTAACCCTTCTTGTCCACTGCCGTGCTGTTTAGACTATAGGCACAGCGTCTAAATGTACAGTGGCCATCTAATAATGATGGAAAAATAAACCAAAAAGCCCCTGATCCAAGAGAATATTACTGAGACATCCCACCAGCTCTCAACTACTAATCTGGTTTTAGAAACCACCCCACACTCGAGAAGGAAAAGAATGGTTGGCAGGGACCAGGCTTAAACACATAATCCAGTTTTAATATCTGCATTAACAAAACAGAAATCACAGTTTCTACACATGACAAAGTTCACTTTTTGTAATCAATTTTTGGCTAAAACATACTACTACAGACAGGCAGAGTGGCAAAGTAATCCAGTAGATATGTTCTGACTCAACAGCTCCTAATCCCTAGCTTTCACACACTGCACTTGAGATATTCCCGACCACGATCCCTATTAAAGTGTGTGTGCTCACCAGGAAGGACACCATCATGCTGGCTCATCTGACAATCTACTTGGTGCCAGAGTAGTGCTGGAAAGCATCACAATGCTGGGACAAGTGCAGGGAAACAAGGACAGCTGCAAGACCAACAGCAGAAAGACAGACACAGGACCTTGAAGTCAATGCAATGACAACAGTCCAGTGAACTGCCCACTTTAAGGACAATCTTTAGGAAAATAAGAAATTAAACTACAGGGAACACTAAAGAGTAGATGACTCCGAAGTCAGGGCAGAAAGTATTTACTGGTGGGTTTGATTCTATACTAAAGGAGGGAGGAAGAAGACAGAAGTTGGAAAGGACATCAGGGAAACCAGAAGACCCCTATGTTAAATGTCCACAAAGAGAAAAGGGGGCCATGGCCAAGAATGACTGGTGGAGAAAGAACACAGACCTGGTAGCTAGCATATACAAAAATCTCAGGGGAACGATACCATACTGACATTTATGGGATATTTAGAAAACAGCAGTAACCTATGAATTTTCACAGCCATCCTATGAGGTGAGTACTATCATTATCCCTAGTTTTTAACTAAAGAAAAAGAGTTGACGCGTTTGTCTGAGGAAGAAATTCAATCAATATGATAGATGAATTAAAATCTGAAAGGGGGAGACAATTATTTCTGTCTTCTTGGGGATCTCTAGAATTATCCTGGATACATCCCCAACAGTCATAAATAAGACGCAGCCGAAAGGGTAGAAATGAAAGGTTTTTTTTCAAAGGAAAGCGTAAGTTCAACCTTGACAGAGCTAATTCTGGCCGAGGACATCAGGGTTAGGAGGACGGCACGAGGGGCGCAAGCAGCACTCACCAGAAGAAGGCAGGTGTCCACTAGGGAGAAGGTGCCGGACCGCCCAATGCCGGCGCTGCAGTGCACGACCGCAGGCCCATGCTCAGGGTCCAAGGAGCCAGACGCTCTCACTTTAAACAAGAAATTGAGAAACGAAGCTGGTGATTCGGGGACTCCAAAATCTGGCCAGGTAGTATAATGAAAGTGAGATATTGTTCTGGTTTCACCACTCTAAAAAGTGAAAATCAAGGAAAGAGAAGTTAGTTCTAATGTTCTCCTTGAAAAGATCATGTGTATTGCCTAACAGTTTTAATCCTAGGGGCTGTTTGTACTGAGCCTTTTCCATGTTGGTTTTGATAGTCACACATACAGATTAGGGAACATTCTTTACAGGAATCTGGAGTATTTTATAGTAACAGTTAATACACATAACACAGTAGAGGCCTGTGTAAAGCTCTTTGCTTATAATTCACACAACAATCCTACTAAAACCCATCTCCAGATGAGAAACCTGAAGTCGCAGAGTTAGAAGATACAGAGCTAAGATAGGAAGCAGCAGTCCAGGGCTACATCCGGGGTCTCAACCACTAACTCGTACCATTCATCTGCCAAATTCTCTCTCATTCATACATCACGGTGAGTGATTCTTTGTTCTAAAAATTTCTACCATCACGATTTCACATTTGTTAATATTTTGTTTTGTAAGAATTACAAGTTTCGCTGGGCACAGTGGTGCATGCCTGTAATCCCAGTTCTTGGTAGGCTGAGACAGGAGGATTGTCGTGAGTTCAAGGCCAGCCTAAACTACATAGTGAAACCCTGTCTCAAAAAACCCAGAAAAAAAAAAAGAATTACAATTTTATTTTGTAAATATAATCTCTTTACATGAGGTACTTTTAGATACTGCTACATAGGCACAGACAAAAACTCTCTGAATTTAAAGGAATAATCTGTACCTTTTTAATTGAAATTGCTCTTCTAATGGAGACCTTCCCCCAGGGTAGTAACTTCTGATCCCAAAGTTGTTTGTATGCCTTTGGTGATATCCTAAGATGTTTTTTACCAACATGCTAAATATCTCCTGCCTCTTCAGCCTTCCTGGATTCCCCACCGCTAACTAGACACTCCTGATGATCTCTATGTCTCCTAACTCACGAAAATGCCCCCTAGCTGCCTGCCAACTGCCTTCTGCCCCATGGAGCAGGTCTCTAGCTCATAGTCTCCACTTCTGTAAATGAAGCAGTGATATTCTGTATGTCTTTGCAATTTTTTAGTTTTGTTATAGGACGTTTCTGGACAAAGAAGGCATAGGAGCACTCTTTAAAAGCTCCCACATGGGGCCGGGGATTTGGCTCAGTGGTTTCGCCGCCTGCTGTGCTAGCGCAAGGACCCAAGTTCGATCCCCGGTACCAAAAATATAAAAAATAAATAAAAATAAAAAGCCCATATGTTTATAGATTATCATTTGTTCCCAATAAAAAATTTCAAAATTAGAAAATAGCTTTCACTTTAAAAAAAATAACTTCTAGACTCAGATATATGATACTGAAAAATATAGTGCAAAAACTTAAAAACATGATCTACACTCTTTCAGTCACCTTAATATAGTTTTAATAATTCCAAACACACTATGAGCCACAGGTTCTCAATATACTGAAGGCACGTAGAAGATACAGTACTTCATTACTAATTAAAATGACGATCATGATTTCTAGATCTCAAAACACTTCCTTTTCTTTCTTTCTTTCTCTCTTTCTGGTGCTGGAGATTGAGCCCGGGGGTCTGTGCATGCTAAGCACATGCTCCACCACTGAGGTGTACCCCTAGCACCCTAAATACTACCTTCTCAATTAAAGACAACTGCCCATCTGCAGTTCTGACTTTCAGAGTGCACATGTGTCAGTCGCCTGGGCTGGTCTTGAACTTGCCACCCTCCTGCCTCAGCCTCCCAAGCAGCTGTAGTTATGGGCAACTGCCATGCCAGCCGGCTTTCCTTTTAAATTCTAAGTCAAGTATGCTGAGTGAAAGAAGCCATTCCAAGGGCTATGCACGGTATGAGTTCATTAATAAGACCCTGGAAGAGGCAAACTTACAGGAGCAGAAACCAGACTATTGGTTGCCAGGGGTGGGAGGTGAGGTACAAGGTTTATTGTATGCAAGCAGTACAAAAACCTGTTTGTGTGTTTGGGGTGGGGGATAGAGCAATTACTGTAGCTGGGTATCATGGTGGATACCTGTAATACTAGCATCCTGGGAGGTGGAGGCAGGACAGTAGCAAGTTTGAGCCCAGCCTGGGCAACTTAACAAGACCCTTGTCCTGAGACATGAAAAAGCGGGCCGGGGATTTAGCTCAGTGGTTCTGCCGCCTGCCTTGCAAGCTCAAGGTCCCGAGTTCGATCTCCAGTACCAAAAAAACAAACAAAAAAACAGAAATGAAAACAAGGTTAGGGGTGTAGCTCAGTGAGAAGACCTGGGGTTCAATCCCCAGTATCACGCACACAGAATGACTCGTTGTGTTTATTACAGCTGTGGTTACACAACTGGGTGCACTGTTCAAAGGTGCACACACCACAAACAGCCAATGTTCTGTGAGTAAACAGCAAATTAAAAAAAGAAAGTTAAACACATTCCAAAGTAAGGCTGAACTTAGCTTCCGTTTACATAGCCGTGGGTGGACGGCTAACACAGCAGCACCCCTGGGGTGGGCTCAGGAGAAGGCTCAGTCTTCTCTCCTGTTAGAGGGGTGTGTGATTCTAGTGGGCTTCTAACCCCATCTCTTCCTCACTGACGACTGCCCTGCTGTGGCTGCCAACCACCACATCCAGCGCTGGCCCACAGGAGACCAGCCAAGGTCAGGACCCTGCCAGCTGTGGCCCGGCCTGGCTCCACAACTGTACCGTTTTCTGGCTCTTCAATGAATGGCTGCCCCGCAACCCACAGCAGCTGTGAGCTTCTTCACTTACGCAGTTTTGGCTCAATGCTAGTATCTCTTCATGGTTTTCAAATTCAGGTCACGCTGTCCGGGACAGTGGAAGCCAGTTCCCAGAAGTGCTCATGACTATTTGTGTAACACAGTCTTCCTTGCTAACAAATTTTTGAAAATCTGCTTTTCTTGCCCTGCAGAACCAGGCTGAAGGATTTTTCTGAGAGGTTGTGATTAATTTACTTTTACTGAAACAAGGTTTAAAGAAGCATAGCCCACAAAACCCTGTAACTCAAGAGCTACAAATGCCTATGGACTGAAACACAAGCGTTCACTGCTCAGGCAGAGTCATGGATTTGCACGACTGGATTTCCATGCTGGACGAAAAATGAGAGGGAACATGGGCTTTATTTTAAATTAAATTCTAAATAATTGTTGTTATTATTTATTTTTTGGCAGTACTGAGGATCGAACTCAGGACCCTGCACTTGCAAGGCAGGCGCAGTGCCACTGAGCTAAATGATGAGGATCAAGACACAGAGCCAAAACAAGATCCACCTCTATTCCAAACGAACCCTATTTAGACTTCACAACTTCTGACAAGCCAGGGGAGTTGCCCATCTGGAAGCTTTCTGTCCTCTCCTCCCCTCCGTCACCGAGGCCTGCTGCTGTCCTCTTCAGGGGTCTCCCCATCACTGCTCCTAGGCCCCACCGTCTATGTGCACACACCTGGCTTCATCCACAGCTACAATGACCCCGCCGGCCCCAGTGGCAGCCCTTCCATACCTGCCTGCCATGTTTCCCTTGTAAAACTGCAATGAGTATTACCACATGCTACCCAAAAATGCTAATGGCTTGCTAGTCCTTTTAATGAAGTAAAATTCTAAATGTGGTCTTTGAATCTGGTTGTCAAACTTGCTATAGATGAAGGCCAGCAAGTTGGGTATAATAGGCAACAGGGGGCTGTGAAGTTTATGGCTGTATAAGTGTATGTCTTTCCAAAGCCATCCAAGTTTGAGTTAATACTATAAACGCAAGCTTATAAATTTCCTGTTATAAAAAACTACAGAGCTGTAGGGGTCCAGACCCAAGTGTTTTCACACGTTAGGTATATACTGAGCGTACCAAGGTCATGTTCTATGGGACTTACTAAGCCCTAGTTTTATAACCAATGAATGGAGTTAAGAGATGGTCTTTACCTTATAAGGCTCCTGTGAAGGATGAAGCAATGAATATAAAGTGCGTGACAGATCCCTGCATGTGGTAAATGCCTAACAGACACCAGCTGTTCCTAAGACAATTACACCTACTGATTGCCTCTGCTATAGTCCAAGAAAAATTCCAATCAACTGTAAAATCTGGCGTATTTTTAACCTCTGCGCTGACTAGTTCCTTTTTATCCAAACAGTGACAACATTGTGGATTTTACCCCTTAGCCAGACGTCACCTCTGTACCCACCCTGTCACTGCCTAGCTCGGTCCCATGCCCACTTTTGCGGGGATCACTGTACTGTCAGTGACAAGCATTTGCTGAGTGTGACTCATCTAGAAAATAGACAGAACTCACCAGATCAGGGTGGGCAGGCCAGGCCAGGCACAGGCTTGCAGTGTAAGCAGAGGGGGCGCACTATGCAGAGGCTGGAGCCCTGAGAAGTGACCTATTTGTGACATCTCACCAGGAAGAGCCACAGCTCAGGAGGAGGCAGACAGGCAGGCAGAACGGGCAGGGCGGGGACGGCGTGCACGTGGTCCTGTGTGCCTGAGGGGGCTGGCAGGTGACCACACCTGTGTTCTAGGATGACCATTCCGGTGTAATGGCAGAGAACAGAGGCAGCAGGTAAGGATCCCACCCATGGGGGCTGAAAACGTTATGGAGTCAAAATACAACTGGGTCATGCGAGTACTGAACAAGTTAGTGAGCTGCAGTGGGAAGAGACTGAGCCCACAGGGACAAGTGTGGTCACAGGCACCTGAAGAAAGGCCTTAGTAAGATCCAGCCCCCAGGGGTTCTGGGGTGGGCAGGAAATAAACAGGCTGGGGGTGCATTCTAGGTGGGCCAAATGATTAAACTAGTTTGAGTCAATCCCAGCTGAGCATCAAAATAATTCAAACACTAGTTCTGTTTGTGGTAAATTTATAGGGACAAGGAAACAGAAGACAGTAAGCATTGTAACAGTATCCCTGGAAGCTGATGATCATAAAAACTGGCCAACAACATTACAGAAAATAGAAAGTGCAACTAAAAAGAAAAATAAAGGACAACTACTCTACATGACCTTGCATTTAAAAGGCCTCTCCAAACTACTGCCACAGTATAAGCCCTGGGCCACATTAAAAACAAAGACAGAATCTCTTCCTCCAGGAGCAGGAGTTCAAGCAGGAGCTGTCAGCAGGACAGTGAGGGCTCTGCTCCAAGCAGACAGCAGCTGTGGCCCCAGGGTCATTCACAGACTCGAGTCGGACCCTGCAGAAGCAGACCGGTTCTCCACACACGGCACAGGAGCCTTGAGAAAGGTCTTGGGCCAGGTGGGCTCTCTGCCTTCCTCCGTCATCACTGTGGGTCAGGCTCCCAGCACCCTTCCCAACTCACAACTGTGACAAAGGAAACAGACCCGACAGAAGCCTGCAACTGGGGCACCCTTGGTCTTCAGCACAGCCATGGCGTCACTGGCTCAACCCTACAGCAACCCCTTGGGTAGGCAGATTGCTGCCCTCATTTTACAGGTGACAACACTGAGGTACAGAGCAATGTAATGTGAACCAAGCCCTGAGAAGTGGCAGGCAGGACCGAAACTCAGGCAATCTGGTTCCAGAGCCTACATAATCAGTGCAGTTCTCTGACCTCCACAAGGCAGGGCCACTTTGCTCATCTAACACTCCTAGCTCCCCACCAAATCATAAAGCGCAACTGAACTTCCTAGTCTGGGCCAAGCCCTCGTTCGTTACAGCTCACAGTTCACAGTGACTAATGCACAGGCACTGGCCAGCTCACACGTGACAACCTCAACTTCAGAAGGATGCTTGGGAAGCAATTTTCCTTTGCAAGAACTAGTTTTTACTTTGTTTTCTTTTCCGTCGTTTCTTTTTTGGTATGCAAACTGAGTCCCGGGCCTTTACACCAAGCTACATTCTCCAGCCATTTTGGAGACAGGGTCTCACTGAGTTGCAAAGCTGCCCAGGCTCAAACCTGCGATTCTCCTGCCTCGGACTTCCAGTGTGCCAGGGTTACAGGTGTGTGCCGCCATGCATAGCTAAGAACTAGCATACTTTTAAAGACATCTCTATGTCAGGACCTCCATCTGAGTTTGGTCTGCCACTTAGGTAATCTACAGGGGAAAAAACCCTATATCCTAATGTATTTTAAACCTTTTAAAAAATTAAATATGAAGATAGTAAGAACGTTTACTTATCTACATTGCAGGAAGACTGTGGATCAAATTATACACACATACACACACAACTATGTACGTTTAGAAGTGTTTTATAACCTGACAAAATATAAACACCAATTTTATTATTATTGGAGGTATGATCAATTCCCGATTAGGGCTGTTTCAGAACTGGGGAAGCACACCTATCCCCTTCACCTAAATCAAGTTTAATGTCTTCTATGAGAAGATAAGGATAAACTGCTGGGATAAACAGCAACAGAGGATGACTCCAGGAGCCATGAAAAGCTTGTCTGTTTCTGGGGACAAGCACAGCACCACCCAGTATCACGGACACTGACGTATCTCAATGCAGTTCATGACATAGTAAATAAAATATTTGGTATAAATACAGTAACAGGAATTTGAAAAGTAAACCGAATTATTTTAATTCTTGAGCCTTTTAGGTGAGCTGGAAGGTCCCCCCACAAGCTCATTCCTGGCGCGACAGGCGCAGGGAGAGGAAACCCAGTGGCCCCCAGCACACAGCGGCCCCTGTGCTCACACTGTTGGGACACTCGGGGCGCCCAGGAGCCAACCTCTCGGGGCGCCTCGCCTAACAACTGCTCCGACTGTCGTCCTTGTCTTCTAGAAAAACTCGGAGTTGTTAGTGACCATGTGTGAATCACTTCACATTCAATTAAATCAAACAGTATTTTGCTTTAAAGGATAAATATGCTTTTTTTTTTTCCTTTGGTACCGGGGATGGAACTCCGGTCTTTGCGCTTGCAAAGCAAGTGGCGGAAGCGCTGAGCTAAATCCCGGCCTAGATATGCTTTTAATGTCACTTTGGACGAATGCCTACCTATTTCCTAGTTATAGTATTAGCATCACAGAGTTGGACTTTTTCCTATTGTCTAGCTTATTCTAGTTACAGCACAAAGGAAGAGAGATAGTATGACCCCAGCTTGGCAATAGAAGGTTCACAATTGCACCACGTTATGTGTCTCAACCAAGGAGCACTTCATTTATTTCTGGAAGAAAATCCAAGTAAACATCCTTGCCATCACTGCTACACGTGTTTCACCATTTCCCAGCTCCACAAGGACACATTTCTGAGGGAATCAGCTGCATTTTTACTGCTCTGCTAACCCCGAAAGTGACGAGCACAGGCACTGCGTTTGCTGGGCTTCTGAAGCAGGTGCTGTGCATGCGCATCTCGCATCTCGCATCTGCACACGGCCCTGAGCCGAGCCACAGCTGCAGCCTTCTACAGGATCAGGCAAGGCCAGGAAGGTGAGCAGCATACCTCCCAGCAGCACAGTGGGCACATGAGCACAGACCTGTCTCATTTGCAAGCCCTTTCTTGGGCAGTGCCGAGGATCAAACCCAAGGGCATGCTGCAGCCGAGGCTTGTCCTGCTCTTGCCTCAGCCTCTGAGTGGCTAGGAGTGCAGTCCTGATTACAGGCTCATCCCTACACCTGGCATGAGCCCTTTCTTACCTCCCTCCTTTTAGTACTGGGGACTGAACCCCGGGCCTCCAGCACGTGGGACAGGCACTCTTCACTGAGCCACCTCCTCAGTCCCTCCAACTTTTTTTTTTGGTAGCAGGGATCAAACTCAGGACCTTGTGTTTGCAAGGCAGGCCAAGTGCCACTGAGTTACATCCCCAGCCCCCTCCAACTTTGTTTTTTAATTTCATTTTTGGTGCTGGGAATTGAACCTAGGGCCTAAAGCATGCTAGGAAAGTGCTGTACTACCAAGTTACAACCCCCGCCCAAAGTATTTTTAATAAATAATGTTCAATCAACCTGAACTTTGAATTTCTTGGTTTCTACGCTGTCTTGAGTCCTTGAAGAATTAGTCTATATAAAAACAAAATTTTAAAACAAATAATCATGACTAGGTACCATCACAGACCTTCAAATATTTATGCTGCATCAAGCTCCAAATCTAAGAGTGAATAAGTCTTCAAAGTATTGTATGAACCCCAAATTCCTGGCAAGAAAAGTCTTACACTGATATTTTCTAACTGTAGCAGATGTACTGTATAATATGACTTCACGTCTTCTGATAAGAGCTTCACTCTGAATCCTGTTTCTTTGAACACCATCTCTCGGTCATCTGTTGGCCAGTACTGTGCACATTTAACCTAAATTTTAAAAGATTAGTTTAGGCATTATGAAACCATAAAAGCTGAAAACAAACCTCAAACATACATGCTATAGTTTTTCAATTTAGTCATAAATAAGAACAGTTAAGTTTATTTAGTAAGACTGACATTTTATAAAGCGGCTTTGTAAAATTAAATGTCCCTGTAACTGTTAAACTAAAAAAGCTATTAACATATTGTGGTCACAAATAAAAATGAAAGTTGTTATTTTTATGTTTTGTTTTGTTTTTTTTGGTACCAGGCATCAAACTCAGGTCCTTGTGCCTGCACAGCAGGCAGCGAAACCACTGAGCTAAATCCCCAGCCCCTGAAAGTTGTTATTTTTAAAGCTTGATGTCTTATAATTTAAACATCATATGACATTCACTTATGCTTCTGAAAGTATCAAACTCCTACAAGGATCTTAAAATAGTAATTGAAAAGGCTTTAATTATTTTCCATAGTTATCTATGAATTTGCTATTAAATATCTACAAATATCACATATTTACTTAACTAACTTCAAATCAGTAATTTCCTAAAATTCAATCAGGGGAAAGAATGAGAAGATTCAAAGCCTTTTACCTAGTTTTTACACAGATTAAGTATTCTCAATGGGAAACGTCATTTGACTCTGACAGTAATTTGTAGTATCAGAAAGAAATGATGTAATACATTTAAGTTGGGAAATGAAGTATATACTTTATGTTGTTCAAAGAAAAGCAGATGTGAGCCAGGGATTCTATACCCTGCCATACTGACTTGTGTGTATTAAAACACCAGGTAAACTGTCACTGACATATAAGAAATCAGAGATTATAATGCCCACAAGTCCTCTCTTAGAACACACTAGAAAATAAGCTTCTCAACAACTAGAGAGACGTGAACAGAGACTGTGATAAATATCAAATACATACAGTTGGCCCTCCCTATTCATGTGTTCTGCACCTGCAAACCAACCTCAGATTAAAAAAAATATCTAGGTAAGCCAGGCATACTGCTACACACCTATAAACCTGGAAGTCTGGGAGGCTGAAGCAGGATGATTGCAAGTTTGAACCCAGCCTGGGCTTTTTAGCAAAACCTTGTCTCAAAATAAAACATTTTTTTTGGTACTGGGGATCGAACTTGGGTCCTTGCATTTGCGAGGCAGGCGGCGGAACCACTGAGCTAAATCCCCGGCCCTAAAATAAAACGTTTTTTAAAAGGCTGGGAGTATAGCTCAGTGTGAAGGTTCTGGGTTCAATTCCCTACCAAGAAAGGAAGGAAGGAAGGAAGGAAGGAAGGAAGGAAGGAAAGAAAAGAAAGAAAGAAAGAAAGAAAGAAAGAAAGAAAGAAAGAAAGAAAGAAAGAAAGAAAGAAAGAAAGGAAGGAAGGAAGGAAGGAAGGAAGGAAGGAAGGAAGGAAAGAAAGAAAGAAAAGAAAAGAAAAGAAAAACTGCATCTGTACTGAACACATAAGCCTTATTCTTGTCATTATTCCCTAAAGAATACAATATGGTAGCTATTCACATGGCATTTAAAATTATCATACTAGGTATTACAAATAATCTAGAGAAGAATAAGGGAAAATGTACATAACATATATGCAAATACTACACCATACTTTCTAAAAGGGGCTTGAGCATCCACAGATTTTTGTATTGGCAGAGGGTGCTACAATCCATCTCCCCGGAGACAAGGGGTGACTGCACAGAATACTGGAAAAGGGTCACAAGGGGAGACTGCAGTGTCATATGCTCTGCCAATGTAGGTTAAGAACAACTAAGAGACCAAGAAAAAAAACAGGAAAAGAATGGGAAAAACTGAAAAGCAAACTATTTTCAGGAATTATTTCAATAGCAGAACAGATATTGCTGGGACTCTGTTTTCTACGTGGTACAGGATGAAGGAAATGAGTCATTATAAAATATTCTGTATCTCGGATGTGTTTGATTCTTTCACACCGGGATTCTTGGTGTAAAAAAGAGAGCAGCAGATATGAGGCAGAAAAAACAGGCTTCTAACAGAAATGGCTGGAATCTTTCCAAAATAATTAAACTTGAATCTTAAGAACCACCTAGATCCACTCTCCATAAAGATGATTTCTAAAATCTGGTAGTACCATTATCCTACTAACAGTAATCTGTAACCCAATCTGGGAGGAGGGATGAAATTTACAAATCATCTACTTTACAATACTGTTCAAAATGATACATAATTTCTGAATGAGTTTAGAGACCATGAAAACCACTATAAATGACAGTGCTGACCCTAGAACTTACTGAATGTCAATGCCACTTCAGTTTAGAAACAGAAAGTTTGCATCATCACTGAAAATCAGCAACCACAAATTTTGAAAGAGGTAAGAATCAGGAATCTGAAGAAGCAAAACACTTTTTAAAAAATTCTTTTGATGATACTGGGGATTGAACTACATGCCCAGCCCTTTTGTATTTTGGGACAGAGTGTTGTTAAATCACTAAGTCACCCAGGTTTTGCTTGAACTTGTGATCTTCCTGCTTCAGGCTCCCAGAGTGCTGCTATTATAGGGCCACCCTGTGGTACCACAATCAACAATACAAGATCTTAAAGCTGGAAGAGACCTTAGTGACAATATTCTGCAATTAGCTTGGACAAAAATAAAATCTAAAGCTACAAAAGTGAAACATCTTAATCAAAGTTACACCACTAACAGGCACTGTACTTAGATTATAATTTTAAATTTCCATAAATTTATACTTTCCGACATTTATTATCTAATAACCTAAGAGTCAGCTATAATTTATAAAGATAAAAAGCATCATTTTAATCTTATAGGTCATTTCCAAAATTTTAGCAATAATATAAAGATGCTGGGCTGGGGATTTAGCTCAGTGGTTCTCCAGCACCCACCTTACAAGCCCAAGGTCCCAAGTTCGATCCCCGGTACTAAAAAAAAAAAAGATTCTAATGAAGCCTAGGGATTCCTAAAACCTATATATCACCACCAGTCAGTAATTATATCATTATATTTCCTCTCATAGATGAGTGGTCTGCAATTACTATATAAATGTTTAAGGTAAGGAAGGAAAAAGGTAACAGTTCTGGTCAGAAACATCTTGACTCCTAGCCTTGAGCAATTAAAGGCCCACACTAAGGAATAAACCCTAGTCCAACACACACAGGAAAACCTTTGTAGCCAAAGAGTGTATGCAGTACACTGTGTTGCAGATATTTGATATTACTCACCGATTCTTTCTCCACAACTCGGTTTAGCATGACAACTGCTTTGGACTTCTGCTGCCAGACCATGAGCCAGAAATGGCAGCAGGTATTAGGAAGTGGACCCTGTAAGGCAGAGGCTGCAAGTCAGTGGAGGTCAGGAAGAGCAGGCCTGAGACATGAGCCCTCCAGATGTTTCAGGCCTGCTGCTAATATGGCGGCCAGTGGGTGAGATCAGTAAGAAAACCAACACTTAAAATCCACTTGAATTCAAACACTAGCTGTGCTCAATACCAGCACTAGTCTGAACTGGTTAGGATTTTGGTTCCAAACAATCAACTTTATTTATTTGGAAAGGGGATTGTTTAGGCTATCAGGGGCTTTCAGAGTTGGGAACTAGAGGTCAGAGCCTAGCAGTTAAAGCACAGGCAAGTTCTGCCTGAAGAAGCCAGCATGGGACACTGCTCCTGGCCTTGTTGCTTGCACTGGCACTGTCAGAGGTGGCTCTGGTATTTACGCATCACCTGTAAACAAACCAGAGTCAAAATCACAAGCAGGGGCATCTTACTGGTTACGTTCTAGCTGCAAAGCCAATTTCTGTTCCCCTCAGCCTCTGTAGCAGAAAGAGGTCCTATGTCATGCCGATATCTTCAAGCAAAGAGCAATTCTGTGTTAGCAGTGGCCAGTCAACAAGCCCAAGTCAACTACAAAAGGATTTCCAGAAAAAGCATAAATCATGAAAGTACCTGAACTACTCTGCAACTATTAATCTACAAAAGCACAGCTCGCACAGCCTCAACGGGACAGCATGTGGCAGAACTCAAAGGGGCAACAATCCATGTATTACAAGAAATGCCACTGGGACACGGGGAGGGGGACACCCCATATCGTATGTACCTCCAACTACTTCGTGTTTTGCTTAAAGATATGAAATGAAAAGACCATGCTCAAATTATAACTTTTTTTTCAGGCCTGGGGAGCAAACGAGGGCCTCATGTGTGCTAGGGAAATGCTCTACCACTGAGCCACACCCCAGCCTAACTCATATTGAATGAGTAAAAGTTCAGTGAATGACGTTTTCCTGTACTGAAGGAACTCTGAACATGCAGCCAACTCACAATGTGTACAGCAGGTGGTGAGAGGCCAGGGCTGCCCAGAGCTGCAGCCCCACAGGTAACAAGGGGTTCGAGTGGTTCTAGACTGCAAGCATCTTTAGCATAGGCACACTCCCTGGTAAGCAGCAGATGCTCAATAAATATTGCTTAAGTGAGTCAAATCTAAGATTAACTTGAAAAAACACTGGGAATCTATGGAGACTGCTCAGAGACTGTAACCTTACATTGAAGGACACTATTCTCTTCACTCAGGTAGTATCCACTGCTTTCTTTACTTCCAAAACAAACACACAGCCTACAGGAGAAAAGAGCAATGAGAAAATCCCCAGCAAATGAATGCCTTTTACTTAACCTAAAAACAAAAAACAAAGCCATTCACCAGTGAAGTTGCTACCTGGGGTATACACACACCCCAGTTCCATTAGTGATTCTAAAGGCTGAACAACAGGAGGCAAACAGTTGCTGTAGTATAAAGGACACTAGCTTTTTAATCAGAGGGACATTGGTGTACCTCTCAGCTCTTCCACTTACTAGCAGTGTTACCAAAATTTTTAAATCTGCAAAATGGACATAATATACCAAGGGGTTTATTAAAACTTGATCCATAAAACTCCAAGAAGAATATGATTAAAAATAGTAAGCAACTATGGGGCCAGGGATTTAGTTTAGTGGTTTCACCGCCTGCTGCGCAAATGCAAGGACCCGAGTTGAATTCTCAGTACCAAAAAAAAAAAAAGTAAGCAACCAAGACGAATCAGAACAGCAGGGGGGAGTAAACATTCACCACCTCCAGTTTTCCCTCTCTAACTATTCTCTGAGTGTACACACTCTGGTCCTAACAGTGTGTGAGGTGCAGGCCAAAGGTATACTTAGATGTGTGGCCTTAGGCCCTCACAGAGTGCACAGGGGGCATGACTAAGATCAAACACCACAGAGGCCCTGGGGAGCAGAAAGGGGTAGGAAGCAGACAGCAGAGTACAAAGAGGAAGGAAGGCAGGGGGCTGGAGAAGGCCAGCCTGAGCCAGGCCTTCCATGCACAGGACACTGCCTGTCTGGGAAGACACAAAGATCAGAGAGGCGAAGTGAGGTGCACAGCACAACCACGCCTGTGCAGCGGATGGGTCTGCGGGCAAGAGCATCCCTTAAAATGCTGCTGATAAGACAGGTGAAATGAGATCTCTCAAAAGGGCGGGGAGGCAGCCTGGAAAGGACTCCTAGGTGACAAGGACAATTTTAACACAGATGACAGGACTGGATTTGGCTTGCTCAGAACGAATGAACAAACAACTTAAGATTCAGAATGTGCAGAATGTGAGGTACACATCCAGTAGACAGCAGAGCTCTAGAAAATATATGAAGTAAGTCAGGAGAAGGAAAATGGCCAGGTTCTGAGTTCTCACACTCTAAGTGAGGCAGGCTCTGGAAGGACACATAAGTAACAGCCCAACAGGGGCAAGAACTGTAAGTATTCCAAGGGCAGGAACCAGGATGGGATGTGTCAGGGGCTTCATAAAAGGGTCACTCTCACTGAAAGTACTGTGACTAACAAAGGCCACAACAAATACAACACAGGAGTGCTTACCATATTGCTAAGGAAGTACAGGTGTTTCTCAAAATGTCACTCTACAGTGGTAGAGACAGACAGATGCAGGTAGCACAGATATAAAGGCTGAGCGCGGCCACCTGCCCAGACAGAGCACAGCAGTCCAAAGCGACCACATGGCCTAAGTGCCGTGGCCACAAAGCTTGGCTTCTTCCCACTTTCCTGAAGTTTACATTATACAAAGCAGGTAAACTGGGGAACAATGTTGCAAAAGTATTTTAACTAGGGCCAGGGATGTAGCTCAGTGGTGCCTCGCCTGCCTGGCAAGTGTTAAGGTCCTGAGTTCGATCCCCAGTACCAAAGAAAAGGATTTTAATTATTAGTTTACTTCCCACTAGAATACCAAGTTCCTGATGGCAGGGTTTTTACTAAACTCTGTTTAACTAGAATAGTTATCACCAAGGACTGGCTCTCAACAGATTCTCAATGAATAAGCAGCCAGGAAGCCTGCCCCAGATCTGAGCAGAGCCGCCCAACGTGGGCCTCAGAGTTGAGAAAACAAGTTAAATTACAACCTTGGGAAAGGCCTGTATTTAAGGACTGAGAAGAGAAAGAAGAACCAATAAATAATACTGGAAAAAAATGGTAGAGAATGAAAGGCTGAGGAAAGGGTCCTGGATAACCCTTCATTTCTATATTTTCATGTTACAGTAGTTCCAAAAGAAAGTAAATTTTTGGCTCTAAACATTGTTTCATTAAAAACATGTTATGAATGCACATAAAAACACTTCCACTTTTACACAAAGGCCGAACGCAGCGAGTTAGCCTTTACTATCCTCCTAGTCTCTAGAAATCGCCATCACTGATGGTTTGTGTGCAGCTGCCAAAGCCATGTCAGCCATGTCCTAGGAAGAATGGTGCAATAATGCGCCTCAGTCTTCACCTCCAGCGGTCAGGTCGTGTGGCCACTGAATATCAGCACGGCCGAATCTCTGCCTTCTGAGTCCAGGCTCAGCTTCACACTCCCTAACTGCTGCTGGACCAATGAATGTCTTTTCACATGCATACTGTATCCCTTCATTTTGCGATTTGAACTGCAAGTTTATGTCTTTTGCCATGTACCTGCCAGATTCTCTTTTAAAATAATTTTTTTTAAAAAAGATAAACTTTGGTCATTTGGAGGAAAATGGATGCACCTTGAGACCATAATATTATAGGGCTGGAGATTTAGCTTAGTGGTTCCACCACCTGTCTTGAAAACACAAGGACCCAAGTTTGATTGCCAGTACCAAAAAAAAACCCAAAAAAACCCCTCAAAATTCTCTAAAAACATTTTTTTATCTACAGGAGTTTTTGTATCTCAAGTAAAATAATTTTATAGTTTCCTGTGCATTAAAACTGGTCTTACAGCTAAGTTACATTAACTGGAACATATTTTGTTGTTGTTGTCGGATTTTTTTTGGTACTGGGGATCGAACTCGGGTCCTTGCGCTTGCACAGCAGGCGGCGAAACCACTGAGCTAAATCCTCGGCCCTGGAACATATTTTTACTGTATCAAACTTTTTAATCTTTCAAATAACAAGTCATTCTGATCCAAGTCAGGTTTTAAAAAATCTCAAACATTATGGCTTATCTTCTGAATATTTAAAAATCTTTAACTGGGAGAACTGATAGTGCTATAAACTAAGTCTCTATTATATGTCAAAGAGCAGCTGGTGCGGATGAACAAAAATCGCTCCTATTATCTTGGGATGGAAGAAAAGTGGTACCTGCATGTGGACATGGCCAGGCATTCCACAGAAAGCAGGCGGGTGGCTGAAGGAGCCCAGCAGAGGCTCCGCCCTGTGCTGGGGGCACCTGGCCCTAATGGCGGCCAGACAGCATCTGCGCACAGGAGGGCAGAGAGTTCTCAAGGACTCCAGTGACCTCCCTCACAGGCCAGGAGAAAAGGGCTGGCAGCCGCCACAAAGCAGTAACAGCCCCGTGTTAGACGAGAGGCCAGAAAGACATCTGTCTGAAGAATTGCCTGGTCATTCCGTAACAATTTTCATTGAAGGTGCATGTTAACATTAAAAATTAATTTTACTGGGCCGGGGATTTAGCTCAGTGGTTTCATCACCTGCTGCACAAGCGGCAAGGACCTGAGTTCAATCCCCGGTACCAAAAAAAATAATAATAATTTTACTGGGCCAGGGATGTAGCTCAGTGGCACTGCACCTCCCTGGCAACCACAAAGTCCTGAGTTCAATCCCCGGTACTAAAAATAAATAAATAAATAATTGATTTTACCTTAAATACTCAAAGCTTCAAAATTTTATAGTGGGTGCAATTCATTTCATAACCAGAAAAAAATGAAACAGCATTTCACTTAAAAGACAAGATACACTTTTGGCTGTGTTTTAAAGCAAACCCACCATAAAACTGCATTTTCAGGCATCTGCTCAATGCCACATACTTGCCTGTGTTAGGACATAACTCCTTTGTGCCTCTTCCATGTGAACTAAGCTGGCATTAATGTAATCATTTTCAATATTTTGCAGTTTAACACGGCTGTGGTCATCTGAAAATAGAAAATGATAAACCGTAACTCATTTCAAGCCTGTCATTTCTTTTTTTCCTCAATATTAATGTTTTAAGAAACAAATCTTCTAAGAAACAAAACAAAAAACAAATTAGCATGCCTAGTATGGTGATGCACACCTGTAATCCCACCACTCAGGAGGCTGAGGCAGGAAGAGTGCTGTGAATTTGAGCCCAGTCTGGATTATATAGTGAGCTCAAGGCCACCCTGAACTACACAGCAAGAGAGACCTTGTCTCAAAAATAAAATAAAATAAGTTAAATTAAATAAAATAACATAATAGAGTTGAGGAAAATCTTTTGTTTGTCATGGTAGTGACGAAAGGAAATGCTTCTTTTTTTTTTTTTTTTTGGTACCGGGGATCAAACTCAGGACCTTGCACTTGCGAGGCAGGCGGCAGAACCACTGAGCTAAATCCCCGCCCCAGGAAATGCTTCTGCTAGTAATATAACAGCAATCCTAACTTGATAAACTGACCAAAGAGTGAAACATAGTAAAACAAAGCAATGGACAGGGGATTTAGCTCAGTGGTTCCACCGCCTGCCCTGCAAGTGCAAGGACCCAAGTTTGATCGCCAGTACCAAAAAAACCCCCCAAAACAAAAAACAATAAAGCACTTACCTTCCTAGAAAAGTAAAAGGGGACATTTAGATTCTTTGTGTCTAAAAACTGACTGCAGCTACCTACAAAAAGACAGCTGGCCTCACACAATGAAGATTAGATTAGATTTCATTGTCCTCATTTCTTAGACAAGCATTCAACTATATTTAAGTAAGTTTTGGCACTTAACTATATTTAGATTAGGTGATAAAAATATTTAAATACAGTTGGAGTATTCCAATTGTGCTCTTTAAAAGATCACTGAAATGTTTCATTAGTTAAGACTGTTGGCAGTTTAGATACACCTTCTTTGTGTGTATGGTACTGGGGATCAGATGCATGACATTTTCGAGGCAGGCGTGATGCCACTGAGCTAAATCCCCAGCCCTAGATATACTTTTAAATCAAAAATCTCAGGTGTGGCATTTATGCTAATTCAAATATCTAAAACACAAAACTTGACCTCATATCATGTAGATGAGAAAGAGAGGCATGACAGAAGAAAAAGCATACAACACCAGGATGAGCATTAACTCAGAACCCTAAACACTGACTTCCGAAGTACAGAGCAGTCACACACTGAGAAACACAGTGCTGGCGCTTAATTCTGGAGACCATATTCGATTATAAACCATCTAATCTCTCCCCACCTTTAAACCAAAAAAACTGTCTATACTATGGCCACATGAAAGAAAAAGTTAAAGAGCTTTAGTGTCACACCTCAATTTATCGGAGATGTTTCTGCTGGACTGAAACCAAGATCTCTGTAAATATTACATGTCATTTGCCAACAGGAAAAACTAAAGATCTTGTTATAGTAAATCACATACACTAGTGTTCTCGGAAAGATGATGTCAGCAAGCACTTTTTAAAAACAGTTTAATCACCCCTTAACTGTTACATTATACAAGATGGTAACAGGATCAGATACCTAATCAACAAAATAGAGAATATATCTTCAGGCAGCATACCAACAGCATAATGCACTTAAAAAAAGCTTCACAAGCCCTAAAATTCAAGTTCCACTAACCCATCACACCAAAGAAACATACTTCCTCACGTTGGTGTTGCAATCACAGAAAGAAGACAAACCAAAAGCTGCACACTCCATTGCACAACTGAAAACAGCCCTCCAGCCACGTGCAGGCAGAAGGTTCTGGGGACCCCTCCTCTTCCACCCAGGGAGGGGAGGAGCCAGCAGAGACCTCCAGGGTCTGTCAGATATCTGACACCCCGTCCTTGGGCCTGGAACTGGAACCCTCAGTCTTCAACACCAATACCACGTGTAACCCTAAATCTCATCAATTTAGCAACTACACAATGGGGGGGGGGGGGCACAGCTCCCCCAAAGCCGCTGGGGATCCTGTGAGGCCTGGCCTAGACAAAGGCTTTCTTCCTGTCTAACACTCATTCACCAGCTCAGCAGAAGCAAAGAGACACTCAGTTCTCTGGGGAAAGGAAAAAAGTTTAATTCTGTTGGCAGATGACATTGAAAAAGGAAGGTAATCCTTGGGAAAACTCTATAATCATTTAGAACTGGCTGGGGCTGAACCTGTATTTTTTCCTCAGGACTGATCATAAGGTATCGATCGTGGCTCACTGCTGTAATCTGAGCACTCGGGAGGCTGAGGCAGGACGATTGAGAATCGGAGGCTAGCTTGTGCTATACAGTGAGTTCAAGGCCAGTCTGAACTACGTAACAGGGTCCTGTCCAAAAAAACAAAAACACAATACCCTTTCAAATAACACTGACATCGCTACTAATTTTGGTTCTATTAAAAAGACTAATAAAAAAGTTAATATATATATAACTTCTTGATCCAGAAAAGACTCTCTAAAGAAAAAAAAAAATAGGCATTGCTGGTGTTAACTAAAACATACCACCTTCAAATATCTAAAAATATTGTAAATATACACATTTCAGGAAGTGGAACTGTCAAAGCCTTTTTAAAAGAAACTATAGCTTTATAAATTTATGTTCTTCAGCAAAAATAGAGAAGGATGCCGCCTCTTCCCCAACCAAGGGTCATGCAGCATCTGGTTTCAGTGTGGAGGGCCACGAGAAGTCCCAGGCTGGGCTACCTGGAGCCCAGCGCCCGCCCCCGCCCCCGCCCCCCCCCCACCGCCGTCAGCTGTTCATAGGGAACCACCAGGGCCTCGGAGTTAGGAAGGCAGACAGTTAGGTGCTTTCTCCTCCTCCCCAGGAGCCTCTGGAATGAGATGATCCACATAACCACGCCCAAGGCCTGCAGGGCCGTATCACTGTGCAGGTCTATGGTTCTCTCTCCCTTCCCTATCTTTGAAAGGATCCAATGAAGTAGAACAATGAAGCCTGTACCAACTGTATCACATGAAATACCACAAAAGGCAAGCACACCACATTCCCACAGGAAATCTGACTTCTCAACATCCAGTAACACCCATGGCAGGGCTGCCCGGAACTACTCTTCACTATAGGGCATTATCTGCCCTAGTCCTTGTCACCGGTGAATGAAGGAATTCCACACCCAGCAGAGCTGTGGTTTGCAAGCTGAATAAAGATTAAGCCAACTTCTGATGAAGAGTCCTTTCACCTCCCACTGGCAAGCACTGTTTTCTGAGAAATGGTTTCATCTCTTAAGAAATGACTTGCTCTAGCTGTGGCCTACGCTGACACAGAGCAGCTTCCTCTTTCAACGCTGTCACAATAAGCTTTAAAAAAATTAACCATAGGCTTTGTCTAATTTATCATTATTGTAAAGGGAACTCCTTTTGGAAAATTTTTCAGGTCAAACAGGAAGGAGGGAGGGTTCACACTAATCACAACAGAGGTCAGGGACACTGAACTGTTAGACCAGGCACGGAGAAGACTGATTCTCTGAGGACAGCATTAACAGCGAGCGGCCTCTCCCCTCAGGTTTTTGTTCACACCACGGACAAACAGTAAGTTCCCAGACAGTGATGCACACCCCTAGGCGGCACGCCCCTGCCAAGAACCCAACGCATTTTATAGAAATGCCAACCCTACTCAACTCCAAAAGTACACAGCTGAGGAACAAGTACTGCGGCTTTTTTTTCGATGAGCCAAACGCAAAGTCAGAGCTAAAATCCAAGTCACCCATTAACGCAGAGACACAGCCCTTGACACAGAGCATGACCGCCTCAAGGGAGGGCCCTGTGGGCAGCGGTCTCTGCACAGCAAGACGCTGTCTCTATGGTGCCAGACGCTGGCCACACATCTCGGGGCCACCGCTTGGTCCTCACCCCAAACACAGTGGACAGCACTGTGACATTCACTGACACGCAGGCAGCTGGTCACCAGGCGGGAAGAGGGTCTGGGCCCTCAGTTGGAGGCATGAGAGGCTGCATGTTCCCCACGCAGCACTGCCTCATCCCTCACATAAACTAGGCGTCATGAAGACCCAGCCCTGACTCACCCGCTCCCCAGAACCCTCAGATGGCCCCTCTGCAAGGGCCTGGTCTGCTCTTCACACTAACACTTTTGGCTCTGATGTACAGTTACAAACAAGCAACCAGGACATACAGACAGTTGTATAAACTAAAGAGCTTTAAAAGAAAAAAAGCTTCCACTCAGTAGTAACATGGTGAGTACTGCACTTTACTCCACTAAGCACTGTCAGAGAAGCCTGGCCAGCAGAGGCCTGAGGCAGCTCTGCAACGCAAGGTGGGAAGGAAAGGGGGACAGGGACAACAGGGAATAGCACACCCTAAGGGGTGGCGGCAAGGCCGAGGAGCGGGCCCAAAACACGTGGAACACAGGCTCAGAGGGGCCTGCGGGCTGCGCTACGGCACAGACCATGCAGCACCCTGACAAGGGTCTTTAAAGGACTGGTCTGAGCACATCTGATTCCTAGGAAAATGACTCCCAGGACCAGGAACAAAGAGGAAGATGATGTTGTGCAGGGATACACAGTCAGTCTTCCTTCCTCTCCTCTCCTTATCAGAGGTGACAAGGTCTGAATCAGCAGCGGCCCTGGGAACCAGAATTGCTTGTCACCATGCAGCACAGCAAAGCCCGCTCTACTACTTGGGAAGACCACTGGTATCGAAGTTGCTCAGACACACAACCCTGTGACAACAGCCAAGCCACCAGTGCTCCCGGCCTGCTTTCTCATCTGGGCACCTTGAGGGTGAAGAGAATCAATGAGAACAATTCACCATTTGGAGGACTGACTTCAAGTGATTCTGTCTACCCTGGCCATGTGTGCAGAGGCGAGGGAAGGCTCTGGAGAAGAGGTTCAGGGGAGCACGTTCAGAAAAGGCTCTGGCTCCATGACCTGCGGAGAGGGCCACACACCTCACCGCGGGGCCTGGGCAGGGCAGCCGCTTGACCCAGGGCCAGGTGCTCAGGGCCTGAGTTCTGCCCTTTCTAAGAACAG